TGCTGGTGCACGTTTACCAAACAGGACCCGTGCAGGCTTTAAACTGCTTTGCGTCTCTCCGTCAGATAACCTCACGTGCGCGATGCGTCATTTACAGGTATTTCCCTAAACCGCCGGCGCCACACAGATCATATATTTTTCCGCCAAGGGGTGAGAACTTAATGATTACTAAAACGATTATTTATTTTTGATAATTATTATTTTATTTCAGTTAGTTTTTCAATAACTGTTGTTAGTTTCGTTTCGTTTTAGTTGTTGAATTATTTTGCCATTTTTATTTTATTTCAGACCAATAGGACTTCAGGAAAGGTTGGAAGGGAAGGAGTTCCCATAACGGAGAAATATCTCCGTGATGTCTCGTGAAAGCTCGAGAGGGAACTAACCAGTGCTGAAACAGGGAGGTTTCATGACCCTTTAAAGCCCTGAGCGGGACTGTGTTCTTAATCCCGCTCCTGCTGAATTTCTTACCATTACTGCCTGCTCACGCAAACATTATAATATTGCATCATGTAATTTTCGCGCATCAGGGAGCCGCTATCAATATGCGGAGTATTTAATAATTTAACAGTCTTTAACAAGGGAGAAAAAAACATACATAAGCCCAACAAAAAGAGAAAACACTCTGATAAGAGTGCTTTCCAACACGCCTTCTCACTCGCAAACAGAATGAAAACCATGTTGTCAGTGTTGCAGTACTTCAGATCTATGACTCCACCTGCAATTTTCTCCCGAATGAAGTGGTATTTAATGTCATGTGTTTGGCACATCCGTGAAATTGAGGATTGTTTGCCATGCAGATAGCATTCAGATTGATTATCCTCAAACATCACTGATGGTCCAGCTTGGTTGATCTTTAGTCATCAGTTGTTGCATCCAGACTGCTTCTTGAGCTGCACTTGCCAATGCCATGTACTCAGCTTCAGCAGTGGAGAGAGCTACACACGTCTGTTTCTTGCTTCTCCAACTCACAGCTGCTCCACTGATTTGAAACATATATCCTGACATGGACTTGCGGTCATCTTGGTCTCCAGCCCAATCTGCATCAGAGAATCCAATGCATTCTTTTGGCTTGTATAGCAGACCTAAATTCAAGGTGCCATTTAGGCAGGGCTGTACATGAACTTTTTTTTTTTTTTTTTTTTACATAGCACTGGTGCTACAGAGGTTGAAAGTTTTGTAGCACAGGCCATATTTTGCAAGTTGCCGGAGCAGTACAGCCAATCTAATTTCCCTATTGTAAGCCAATCTAATCTAATCACGAACTGACTGACAGCTGCCTTTAGTGGAGCCTTTACCGATTACCTCATTGCAGACGTGGTAATTAATATTGTTATTTAAATACGACAGGCTCATAACTCGTAAGATATGGGAAATACAGTTGCAAATGGACTTTGCTTTTTCATTTGAAATTTGGCAGTCACTGTGTGTTCGCGAAAATAAAAAACGAAAACGTAATGCATGATTTGCAATTGCATTTGGATTATGTCACAATTTATGCGTCCACATACCTGTATGGAATAGGCCTACATAATTGAAAAAAAACAACAATTTGAAATTACTTTTAAAAATGGTCCTGAATATTCTTCCATAATGCAACAAGTAAATCAACTGCAGAATGGCTTTAATCCCTTTAAGTTACTGTTTTAAATTAAACATAAGAAAAGAGTGCTGTATTTTTACAATTCAAAATCTGACATATAGAAATCTTAAAATAGGAAAAATATGCACTGTATAATTGCAGCTAAATCTCCTGTAAGTTTATTTTGGCAATGATATCATATTTTACTTATCAAATAAGGGCACATACATATACATACAGTAGGCTATATCTCAAAATCTCAAAATGCATATATATACTAGAACCGAAGTACTGAAAAATCGCAGTGAATTTAAACTACAGTATTGAAAGATTTTAAAAAGATAAAAAAAAATAAAAATAATTATTGCAGTTGAAGGAAATTAAATTAAGGCTGTTGAAAGAAAAGTAGTCTATAATCTTTTAAGAATGCAAATATTTCTAGCTAAAGTTAGGCTAGATTCATTAATGTTGTTAATATTGTACTACTAGTACTACTACTACTATTTTCCAGTTCCTCAAAACATAAACATTACTTGATATTTTTAAAAACTGTGTTTAAGTTTTTAAAAAATACATTAAAGATGCCTATTTATTATCTAAATTAACTATATGGTTGTTCTCCTGATGAAAGACCTCTCCATCTTCCCCCTTTCTCCAGCTTATTCTGCTGTCACTCTCCAACCTCATGTTCTTCAGCTTTTCACTTATCTGGAAGACCAGCAAGAAAGAATCAAATAAAATCTGACACTTCATGTCACATATACTGTATATGCCTCATATAATCTGTAGCCCTAAATAACAACAAAACCAGCAATAATAATGATGATTATGATGATGAGTGGTGCTTGTTGGGTTTAAGATAATTTAATACATTCTTCTTCATCATTCTTCATTCTTTCTTCGAGTGCATATACTGTACTTGGCAAATTGTGTTGTTGCACCAGAATTTGACAATGAACACTGTTTAAGGCAGATACAAACCTCATTCAGAATGGTCGTCTGTAGTGAAGGATCTTTCAATACGTATTTTCCATTACATGTGACTTTTAATCTCACAATTTGTTTTCTCTTGCCATCTAGAGAAATACATGAAGTTATGCTCAACATAGAAGATACATCAATGAAGGAAACATATTTCAGTTATTTGTGATATCTGTTGTAAGAGTGAAACCATTTTACCCTCCCCCCTTCTGTTGTTCGTAACTATATATGATTAATTATAGGTGTTGCATGATGGGGAGTGTACAATTTAGTTTTTTTTCTTCCGTAGTTTATGTATTCACTGTATATTGTGGGTAGGGTAGTGATGGGTTGCTGTATGTACAGTAATCTTAATCATTTAATTCTGTTGGGGAAACTCACCTCCATAGCAGATAAATGGCTGCTGTAGATCACAGCTGTAGTGAGCCCATCTGCCAGAGTTGTTTCTTGACATCGCAACACAGTCACCAGATCCTGAACTTTGGGATGGTTGACCTGCTGCCCAGTGTCTGAAGAAGCAGCTCCATTTATCAGACCATTCCCAAGAGTCCAAGAACAGACCAATCCAGATGTAATATCCAGATAAAAGAATTTGATTTATCTGGTTATTTTCTGTAGAGTTGTGGATGGTGGGCAGGTCTGTATAATGCTGTCTGCAGTAGCTCTGAGCATCACTCCACGTTTTTACGCTGTGTACCAAGATGTATCCAGAATTTCCTATTGAGAGACGCAAAGAAAGTATCAGTTCTCAGCACTTCTTTTTCAATTAAACTGCACAATGATAGATTTTAAATAATGAGAAATTCACCATAGCACACGAAATATATATTCAAGTCACATAACACATCATGCCAAGCCCCGTAAAATATAGCAGTACAAAATCCATCCTCATTTGGCTGTCCTGAAGCCCAGTTATAGTACTGAGAAGTTGTGTTTTCTCCATCAGACCAAACCCAGCGTGTCTGTTTCCCCCTCTTCAGTCCAATCCACACTGATCCACTGTATCCAGCATCCACTACATTTACCAGCCTGTTCACATCATCCATGCTGTCTACAGTAGCCAGATCAGTGAATCTCTCTCTGCAGTAACTCTGAGCCTCTGGCCACGACATTGCTGTATTTATATAGTGGTACGGACGAGAAAGACCAGAACTGCTCCAGAAGAGCCCTGTTAAAATCAACATTTTAAACCATGTATATGTAAACACATCATCATAAATACAGATTTACTAATAGATACATACATTTACAAATTATCACACCAACCTGACAGCAGAAGCAACACAAACAGACTCCTGTCCATGACTGCTCACACAGATCCTCTCTGCTGGATTCTAAGAGCGGATCAAACACATCATCCATTTTCTGTATCACAAAATTAATTAATAATAATTATGAAAATTTTTGCATTTAGATACAGAAGGACTTTGCCTGTTGAATATTAAAAACAAATGAACAAACAAAAAATCTGGTTCTCCATGTCTTCCATGCAAATCTACCGTTCCTGCCCATTCCCAGACTGGATCTCTTCTCTCCACTTTGCTTCAATTGCAGATTCTATTATTAGATTTGTCAGTATTAATATTTTTATGTTTAGATTTTTTTGGGGGGATCAAACTGTAGCACCGTGTGTCCCAACCAGACACGACGCGATAAAAAGTATCTTTTCCTTCTAGTTTTTGTCCTAAGTTCAACATGATGGTTTATATTTTTAGCTTCATTGCAAGGCAAGTTTACCGTATTGGCCCGAATATAAGACGACCCTGATTATAAGACGACCCCCCTTTTTCCAGATGTACCTTTTGGAAAAAGGCTTTTTAAAAACCAAATCTTGTTTTTTCTCAGTAAAACACATTTTGTCTTCAATTATTTTCATATTGCATATTTTTCCTATTTTAATTTTTGTTTTGAAAGTATGGTAAAAACTGGTAAAATGTACCAACAATCACATTTAAAAAATATACACTTTTTGATATACCATAAAAAAAAAAAAAACAGGTAGCCCGTCTGAATTAGGACATTTAGGCTATCCATCTAATAGTAGCCTTTACAACCTTTATAACATGCATTACATTAAGTATTTCATGGCACACTCGTTTTATGCGTATTTGGCGCCACCTATTGTTGTGGGTGTATTATTGACATGTCAAAGTCTAGACCCTGAATATAAGACGACCGCGTTTTTTCAGATGTATTTCCAAGAAACAAAACATCGTCTTATATTCGGGTCAATACGGTATTTATATACCAAATTTGCTTGGTGCTTTACATAAAAATGAGAAAGAAAATACAAGGTATTAAAAAAGTAAGAACTAGAAATAAAATAATTTAAATTAGAATTGATTACCAGGAGATAAAAAAGATAATTAAATGGCGTGGGGTTAGGGGTTAGTCAGTAGCATGTGGCTATGTGAGTGGGAATTTGTAAGTAAATGTAATTAACATCAAAATAAATTCACAAGAGCAAGTATATTGTTTGCACGTTTATTTACATTAAAGGCAAAATAACTGAAATAATAAGAGCACAAGTATAGATCTGGAACTTCAAGTCTGTCTAAATATAATTTAGTAATTGCAATGTCTTCTATATTCTATAATATTCTATAATATTACAATATCATAGCACAACAACAGTGATCAGCAATAATGATGAGCCTAATACTCACAATAAAAATAATAAGGTCATAAAGATCATAACACAGTCTCGGAGATAAGAAGTGGATTATCATTCACCAGAAATGTTTGTCTTTTCATCCCGAAATGCGAGGCAAATGTTGGATCACAATAATAAGGAACCACAGTTTCCACAAATCCCTTCACTCGATTGGGATGTTCTCTTTTATTCTGGAGGGCAAGGGCAGTGACTGTAACATCAAGCGTATTTAGCAGTATTAAACACGTATTTATACCAATTTCATCAGGCTCCGAAAATTCTTCAAAAAGAACACAAAGAATGGCCTTCTCAGCTGCCATAGTTTCAACTCTTGCATCATCAGAAAAGGGTGTTCAGCGCACCACCGTTTCCGTTTAAAAAAACGTTTTGCTGGATATAGGCTAACGTTACAGCAGTCGGCTCTTTTAACACAGACTTTTAAGAAGGGATGGATGTTTGCTTCAAGTGACAGGCCAGGTAACTTAAGGGAAATTATATTATCTTACTGTATGTGTGTCGTTTTATTTACGTTTTCTAACTAAAAGCAACCAAAAAGCTATTTTAAAGTGGTTAAGCAAATAATAATAATAATCGGCAGGGATCCCCAGACCAATACAATTAGTGTGCCTCCTCTATTTTAAAACCCACGAGCTGCCACTGCAAAAATGAGCTGGCTACATATGAGGCTAGTAGCCTTGATTTTAGCCTTAAGTTCCTGTAGCTTAGGCAGTAGCTACTTAATAACAGTAGCATAGCACTAGAAACACTAAGGTAATGGGTTTGATACCCAGGAAATATGAACTGATAAAATACACAGTGTAAGTTGCTTTGGAAAAATATGAATAAATGTTAATGATATCAAAAAGCTTACAAGTGAGTGATTTAACCTTCCACAATACTATAAACTTACAAAGGCATATTGTACATAACTGTGATTAATTATTAAAAATAAAAGTGAGACATAAGCTCTCCAAGAGTTCTCTTATTACCTAAATAAATGACGGTTAAAACCTTCTGCCTGACAATACTTCCACCTGATGGCCGGAACAGGTACTGCAGGGGAAAGCTGGGCACAACCTAAAGCTTGTTGTTTTAACTCCACTTGGGGTTCAGAGTATTTATTTGTTTCACATTAATTTCACACGTCTGATACAGATATGTGGTTTTGTTTCATTAACACATATTCGTTTTTATTTACCCCAAAAGAACATAAGTGAAATGTAACAACATGCCCCACTGTTGTAACATCTTATCTAATCTAATTAAAATATGCATGCAATATTTTTATCAATATAATTTTTTTATTAAAATGAAAAAAATAAACAAATGGCTATATAGGTCAAAACAATGTGGGCAAAGAGATGAATAAACACATTCAGACATTCAGCAAAATGGAGCTGAACACACAGCAGTAAGAATATTTATATTTATATTTATTGAAATAATGATTTCTGAACATTCAGGTTCTCCTTATCTACATTTTTTTTGGCTGTTTCTCAAAGTGCCGTCAATTATGTGAATTAAATTGCTAACCGCATGGAATATAGAATAGAGATTTTCATATTTTATGCTGTTTTTTTTTCTATATGTTGAGATGCCAGCTAGAAAATACACTGAGTTTCATCATGCTAGCATGTGTGGGAAAAGGCTATTTAAACCTATACAGCGAGCAGTCTACAGTCTGTACAAAAAAACGTGTTAAACTCACTAAAAGCAAAAGTGTAACATTGCAGCAGTAAATGCTGCACAGGCTGATTTTGTGTTGATTTACATGCAAGACATGAGGAGCTTTGATATTCAGATAGCTTATTCTCAATATGTTTTTGCATATTGTATCACATCCACACCAGTAACAAAATGGCTCATCTTGAAGATATTTTGACTTTGGGATTTTAGTAAAAAACACAAAAATGTTTATACTTAAAATACCAAATCATCTTAAGTGTAGCAAAATATTTCATGTCCCACGTTAGTCAATTGCTGGGCACAATCAAAAACACTTTTATATTAATACACTGGAAATTATTAGCAAGTAATGGATGCAGTTGCTATGACTCCACTAATAGAAAAGATGGACATGCACAAATTTATTGTTCAATATAATTATTCTTCAATATAACCATCTTCCTAACTACACCCACGCAACCCTCACTTAATGCTTTTTAAAATGGAAAAGATGTAAAACTGGCAAAAAAATAGTCAGGGGTCCGGTCCCCGTGTTTCTCCCTCTCACCACCAGAGGTCGCCATCTCCCGTCCTCCCGGACTCCATTCCCCAAACTCCATACACCTGTTCACTCATTACACCCTCAGCTGTTCCCCATTGTCACAGACTATGTATTCTCCTCTCACTCACCACTCTGCCTGGCTGAATTAATTGTAATTGTCTTGTAGTTGTAAATTATTTTTTGTAGGTCATGGATGCAAGCACTTTCTGTTGCCGTATTTGTATCCTGGTCCTGTTCTTGGTTGAGTTGTTTTTCAGATCTAGTTTGGTCTGTTTCTGTTTTGCTTTGTCTGTTTTTGTTTATTAAATCTTTTTTCACCTGCACTTGGACCCAGACCCTGTTTTTCCAAGGTGCTCTCTTACCAGACCGTGACAAACATATATTTTTTCTTAATTTATACAATAAAAAAATAAAAATGAAAGAAATGTGTACTGTGCAAAAATCTGGGCGCATTTGATGAATATTTATATGTTGCTTTAGTGTGCCAGAAGGAAATTTTAGATTACCAAACATTCTCTTTGTGAATACTGCAATTATTCAAAGAGATTTTTGTATGAACAAGACAATTTAAATCTTTCAGTTGACTTAAGTTCTTAAGTAAACCAAATCAATATTAGGTGCAACCACTATTTTCCTTTAAAAAAGATTTTTTCCTTTTGCACAGAGCAAGAAAACCTGCTGATTCAGATTCTTCTAGATCTGTAATTTATGATCCACTAACATAAACACAAATCAAATTATAGCTAGATGTGATCTTTTAATTACCTGAAAAAACGTTTTTTTTGTCCTGTAAATCCTTTATATTTTTACACTGAGACTTTCACCTTCGACTGACACCTGAGGAGGGTGGTGGTGATTTCACCCCTGTAGCTCATTTCTTATTGGTTAAACTGATGATGTTATAACTCACCCCATATTTTAACACTCCCTGCTCTCTCCAGGCAATTTCACATAAACACGCCTCTAAACAGTCTAAATGGGCGGTTCTTGGCCAGAACATAATAAGCTGCAATGTGGACCAGACCTTTAGCCATTTAGTCTAACAAATTTGTTTATTAGATGTATTAGCGAATGTGTTAATGCTTCCAGCTACAAAGCACTCTGCACCATTTAACACATTTTACTACATTAAAATTTCATAGATATTCTCCCACACCAAATTGTACTTCTTACATTTAAACTTCAAAATTGAGTTTCAGAATGAGATAAGGACATTCAGTCAGCACCATAACATATATTCTCTCAAAGCAAAAATGTGAAATGCCTAATGTAAAATTATATGCAAATTTTTTGATGACAAGACA